GAACAGGAAATCCTTTTTTAAATACATAGGGGGTAAAAAGAAGGTTCCGGGTAATGTGGGGTCTCTGCAGGATACGCTTGGAAATCTGGTTGTCGCACCAGACGACAAAGCTAACCTATTTAACAATTTCTTTGCCTCCATTTTTCTGAGCAGGGACCAGGTCATCCCCCTAAGCAGGATCCCCAATGGTCCCAGGGGAGACGCAGCCAGGCCCAGGGTCAGAGAGGACCTAGTCAGGGAACTTCTGGTGGGACTGGACGTGTTCAAATCAGCAGGTCCTGACGATCTCCACCCCCGAGTGCTGAGGAAATTAGCAGAGGTCATTGCAAGACCCCTGGCACAGCTTTACGATCACACGTGATGCTCTGGCAAGGTGCCAGAGGACTGGAAAAGGGCCAATGTGGTCCCCATTTTCAAAAAAGGGAGGAAGGAGGACCCAGGAAATTATAGGCCTGTTAGTCTTACCTCAGTCCTGGGGAAGCTGTTTGAGAAAATTTATCCAGGTGCACATCTGCGAGGGGCAAGCAGGGGAGTGTATGCTTAGGGGCAACCAACATGGGTTCATTAGAGGCAGGTCATAGATTCATAGAAGTAGGGTGGGAAGGGACCTTCTAGATCATCAAGTCTGATCCCCTGCCCTGGGCAGGAGAGAAAACCGGGCTCAAATGACCCCAGACAGGTAGACATCAAGCCTCCTCTTAAAGACCCCCAGGGTAGGAGCCATCACCACTTCCCTTGGAAGTTGGTTCCAGATCCTAGCCTCCCTGACTGTGATGCCTTTGGATGTCTAGTCTAAACCTACTTTCTAACAATTTGTGGCTGTTATTCCTTGTTACTTTGAGGGGCGCTAGGGGGAACAGGGTCTCTTCCAAACCCAGCTGGTCCCCCCTGGTTAGCTTATAGATAGCCCCCCTCAGCCTTCTCTTGTGAAGGCTGAACAGGTTAAGGTCCCGTAGCCTCTTTTCGTAGGGTCTGCCCTGCTGTCCTCGGATCATGCAGGTGGCCCTCCTCTGGACCCTCTCAATGATGTCCACATCCCTCCTGAAGTGCGGCTCTCAGAGCTGAACACAGTACTCCAACTGTGGCCTGACCAGTGTTGCATAGAGGGTGAGGATCACCTCCTTGGCCCTGCTTGAGATGCATCTGTGGATGCACGACAAGGTACGGTTAGCCCTACTGACCATGACCTCGCATTGTCAGCCCCTGTTCATCTTGGAGTCAATAATGACTCCCAAGATCTCTTTCTGATCTGTCAGACCAACCTGGTGGCCTTCTATGACAAGGTCACAAAATCCTTGGACGCAGGTGTCGCAGTGGACGTAGTCTTTCTGGACTTTAGGAAGGCCTTCGACACTCTCTCAGCCCATTCTCGTTAAAAAATTAGGAGATTGTGGTGTCGATGCCTACACAGTCAGATGGGTTGCCAATTGGCTGGAGGGCCACACCCAGAGAGTTGTGGTGGATGGGTCATTTTCAACCTCGAGAGATGTGGGCAGTGGGGTCCCCCAGGGCTGTTTAATGTCTTTATTAGCGACTTGAACAAGGGGGTGAAAAGCACCTTGTTCAAATTTGCAGATGTCACTAAGATGTGGGGAGAGGTGGGCACGCTAGAAGAAAGAGACAGGCTGCAATTGGATCTGGACAGGTTACAGGGGTGGGCAGATGATAATAAGATGGTATTCAATAATGACAAGTGCAAGGTACTGCACCTGGGGAGGAGGAACCAGCAGCACACCTACAGGCTGGGGAACTCCCTTCTCATCAGCACAGAGGCAGAAAAGGATCTTGGAGTCATTATAGACTCCAAGATGAACATGAGCCGCCAATGCCAGACCGCAGCCAGCAAGGCCAGCCATACCTTGTCATGCATCCAAAGGTGCATCTCAAGCCGTCCAGAGGAGGGCCAGCCACATGATCAGGGGGCAGCAGGGCAGGCCCTATGAGGAGAGGCTACGAGACCTGAAACTGTTCAGCCTCCACAGGAGACGGCTGCGAGGGGATCTGGTGGCCTTCTATAAACTGGCCAATGGAGACCAGCAGGCAATGGTAGAGTGCCTGTTCCCCCAACCACTACTAGGAGTAACAAGAAATAACAGCCATAAGTTGATGGAGAGTAGGTTCAGGCTAGATATCAGGAGGCACTACTTCACAGTCATGGCAGCTAGGATCTGGGACCAACTTGGAGACGGCTGCGAGGGGATCTGGTGGCCTTCTATAAACTGGCCAATGGAGACCAGCAGGCAATGGTAGAGTGCCTGTTCCCCCAACCACTACTAGGAGTAACAAGAAATAACAGCCATAAGTTGATGGAGAGTAGGTTCAGGCTAGATATCAGGAGGCACTACTTCACAGTCATGGCAGCTAGGATCTGGGACCAACTTCCAAGGGAAGTGGTGCTTGCTCCTACCCTGGGGGTCTTCAAAAGGAGGCTAGATAGACACCTAGCCGGGGTCATTTGACCCTAGCATTCTTTCCTGCCCATGGCAGGGAATCCGACTTGATGATCTGCTCAGGTCCCTTCTGACCCTACCAACTATGAAACTATGAGGTGGCCACTTATACATACCCCACCAACATACCCTATTGCTTCTCACTTCCACCCTCGTAGGCAGAGAGGCCTGGCCCTTCCAGCACACAGCTTCTGGGTGGGCCTGCTGCTGCCACTGCTGCAGCTGTTGCGAGATCTGCTCAGCTTCCCTGGCTCCAGGCCGCAGGTAGGGAAGTGGTGGGGGCTGCAGCTAGCTAGAAGCACAGAGCGTGGGGCTGGCAGCAGCACCACGCTGCCCTCCCCCAGGGGGGTGGCAGCAATGAACTCAGGTGGCAGCAGGGTGTGGGTGTGAGGGAGGGTGGGTGGGGAAGGTGTGCCCCCTCCCCCCTTCCCCCCCAACTGGCCACTGGCCACAGTTGGCAGTGGCAGCAGCAGTGGGGTGTGGGGGTGGGGGGTGCTCAGGACATTCGTACCCTGTGTAGGTGTTGGCGCATGGTGGTGCACAGCTCTGGCCAGCACTGCACATTGCGGTGAGGAGCACAGCTCAGCTAGGTCACCTCCCCATCACTGGTGTTCCCTGCCATACATGTGGAGCACCCACACTCATGCTTCACGGGAGGTAAGCACCACACACTGGAGCTGGCTGCCTGCCGCTGCTTCCTGCCATGTAGATCTTGGACTCTGTGGGGAAGTGGAGGCCTCTGCTTCCCCATGAAGTCTCAAGACCTGTGCGGCAGGAAGCAGTGGCAGGCAGCTGGCTCCAATGCATGGAGTTTCCCTCCTGTAGCATGCAAGTGCAAGGGAAGCACCAGTGATAGAGGTGGACCAGTTGGGCTGTGACCCTCACCACGATGTGCGGTGCTGGCTGGAGCCACATGCCACCAGGCACCAGTGCCTGCACTGGGCATG